CCCCAAAACCCCAAAACCCCAAAACCCCATTAAGTTCAAAAGTCAAAAAGAAGCAGATAATATTTTTCTAAATCAAAATAAACTGAATTATTCATTATCTACCTATCAAAGCTAAATCTTCAGCCTCCTCCTTATTTTTCTGCTTATTTTCCATCAATGAGGGGAACCAATAGCATTTACCCTAATCCTCAGCATTTTTAGCAAACACACCTTTCGAGGCATTATTATCTTGCAGAGATTACTCATCAACCCAAGCTAATCCCTCCTTTATCAATTAGTCGATTGCTCTTTAAAATCTATCATGTTAATTGAAAGTTGAGATCTTTTCTCTAAGCTTTGTAAAAGTAATCCAACCATTATTCTCTTCTGCCAATTACATTATAGTCAGATTATCTTAGGATAATTCAACACTTGATGAACAAATGACTCTTTTGCTGCCTGTATGGATTATCTTAAATTCAGAGCCAAGCTTGTGTAAACTCTCAACAGCTTTCCTCAAATCCTTACTATAATAATACAGGATCATTTAATTGGAATAAATACAGGGTAACTTCCTCAGCTTTTGAAGATCTTATCTTTTTAAGCAAAGTTAAGCATTCATTTTCCTCAAGGAAGCCTCCATTCTTTTTTCTTAGAGCAATGCAAATATTCACTATTTAAATCTAAAATAATGAGTAAAGAAGTTCTTAAAATTACAGCTAACTCATAATAGAAATCTCCAACACCTAATTTGTCCATCCAAAACCCCTTATTCGCTAAATTAGAATTACTTTCTCAATTATTATTAGCTTACAGCTCAAGGGATCGACTCCAATTTCCTTGCACATTTTAAGGAATTGATTTCTAAAGACTGGATTCTGATTGATTTCTTTTCTATGCTTTAGAGCGAAATTCTCAAGATGATTCTTGAACTCAGATAATTGTTTATTCATCTCTTCAAGTTGTGTTTTCTCTATTTCTTGTCCAACTTCCTTCAACTTCTGCTGTACTGCTAAGTTTTATTTCACTCCTGCTATTCCTACACCTCTTCTCATTTTAGATTTATTATAATATCTATATTTCTTTAAATTCTATCAGAATATGCACGCTGGGGTTTTGGGGTTTTGGGG